ACCAGGGCCCCGCGCTCCAGCACCGCGTGAAGCGCGCGCTGCCCCCGCTGGCCCCGCAGCGCCTCCAGCTGCTCCTGCAGAGCCGCCACCTGTGGGGCAGAGACTCGGCCTCAGCTCCCGCTCCTCCACCAGCTCGGCCTCTCCCTCCGCCCGCACGCCAGGGAGCCAGAACTGCGGGACACCACAGAGCCGAACACCCTGTGCCCCCCATCCCAGTGTCGACCAGGCCCCAGACCCCCTGAGCCCATCACCTTCTCATCTTGGGCGGCGAGCACCTTCTGGAAGATTCCATGCTTGTGGATCAGCCGCTCCACCTCTTCCACTGAGCTCCCGAGGGCACTGGATTTCAGGGCTGCCTGGAAAAGTTAGAGGCCGCCGTGGCCGCCTCCACCCCACGCCCCCAAACACTGCTGAGGCGTCTGGGGGAAGTGAGAGGCTTGGGGTGGGGCTGGCGGGAACAGGGGGTTCAGTGACATGGCAGCCTCTTCACGACGTAGGGGGTGGGGCCAGTCTCTGGCCGGGTCCCCGGGGGCTCTGTGTGGAGTAGGGGGCAGAGGCTGTGGTCTGAGGGGTTGGTAGACACGCGTGGAGCTGTGTGCTGGCCTCTGCGCCCCATGTGCCAAAGACCAGGGAAGGAGGGAGGAGGGGAGGAAGCCCAGGAGAGGGGCAGGCGGCTGGGTTTGGGGTGCGGTAGGGCACAGGGGACCTGCCTCTTGGGCCATCAGGATCTGCTCCAGGCGGCCGCACTGCCGGAGAAGTTGCTGCTCCTGCAATGCAGCCTGCAGCCGCTCCCGCTCCTGCACCCAGGCCTCATGCTCATCCTGCAGGGTGCGCAGCCCGGCCTGAACCTGGGGATGGGCACATGGGGTTCCAGGAGTGGCGTGACGCCGAGGAGATGGGAATGATTGAGGAGAGCCAGGGGGCCATGCAGGGCGGGCGCCGGGAGAGGAACCCCACCTCCTCGGTGGGCGCCCCCGTAGCCAGCAGCGCCTGCTGGCCCAGCTGGGTGGCCTGCTGCCAAAGGGCCTCCCGGGCCTGCAGTTCCGCCTGAAGCCACTGGAGGGCGCTGAGGCTGGGTGGGGCAGGGGGGGGCTCTGGGGAGTCGTCCTCCGTCTGCAGCTCTCCGCGCAGGCTGGCCGCCCAGGAGATGTAGTCCTGCACCTGATCCCAGGAGAACACGGGGAGCTGGGTGAGGCTGGGCTGCTGGCGGGGACCCTGGGACTGCAGGACAACTGAGCACATGCACACATCAAGCCTCCCAGCTGCCCGGGGCAGGGATGCCGGTGAGGAGCCCAGGTCTGCAAACCCTGCCCCTGTCAGACCCTCACTGAGACACCTGCGCCCAGCCCCAGCAGCTTTCAGTGGAGCGGACGCAGGCGGCCACGCTTCGCCTTGCTCAGAGGAACAAGGTAGTGGCAGCAAGTACATGACAGAGTTCTGTCCGGTCCACTGTCCTGCTCCACGCTGGGGTCAGGGGCCAGGCCCACATCCCCTGCAGCTGGGCTCCACGACAGCCAGAGGACTTCCATAGTGTCCCTCCTCTCCTCCCTCCCTCCCTGCTCCGCACGCACACAGAGCTGCTCACAGCTGTTAGACAGATGTTGCCGGATCCAGAGGCTAGTCTAGAACACGTGGGTCTCTGGGTTCTAGACCCATTTCTAGGCTGTTCTCACTCCTCAGTGCTGAAACCCCTCACACCCCACAGATGCTGACCCAAACTTGGGGAGCCCCTGCTAGGCCACGCCCCCTGGGATCAGCCTCTGAGCAGCCACAGTGACATCCAAGGTGTGTGTGGGGGGTCCGTGCTCTTCCTTCCTGTCTACACTTTTCCCTCCTGGAGGAGCCTCATCAGTGCATGCGCGTGGAGGGCACCCACAATGCCCACCGTGGAAGGAGCCCTCACCGCCATGTGGAAATGGAGCAGGAGGCGCGCGTGCTCCAGCTGGGCCCGGCGCGCCTGCACGCGCTGCTGTAAGGCGTCCCAAGCCTGCATCACCGCCTGCCGCCCCTGCTGCACAGCACGGGCCCCGGGCCCCGCACCCCGCTTCTGCACCCTGCCTCCAGCCTCCAGCAGAGCCTGCAGCTGCAAGGAAGGAGAGAGAGGAAGAGGCTGGGGGCCAACCCCCCAAGCTGTGCTCAGCCCACCTTGGGCTACGCCCTGCACCGCGGCCGCGCAGGAGGAGAATCTGGGCGGGCAGGTGGCCAGGCCGGAGGGCCCCGTGTGCCCGGCTGCTCACCCGCTGCTCCCGCTCCCCGAGCTCCTGCTCCAGCCCCTCGAGCCGCCGCAGCTGGGCCTCCAGCCCCCGTAGGTCCTGGGCCACGTCATCATCGCAGGGCAGGCTGGAGGCGGCATCCTGATTCAGGAGACGGCCAAGGGTCAGGGCTGGAGGGTGACAACAGCATCGGGGCAGACCCTCTTCTAGAAAGGTACCCCATCCCCGAGGCACACACCTGGATCTGGGTGAGGGCTTCCTGAAGATCCCTGTGAAGGCCGAGCGTGGTCTGGGCCTCTCGGAGCAGGCGGCCGTGGGCCTGGGTCAGCTCCCACAGCTCCGACCATGAGGCCCTGCATGGAGAGGATGGGGGGGGGAAAGAGGGGGACCAGCCATTCACCAGCTTCCCACTCCCCTTCCTCTGGGGTCCCGTCAGCCCCCTCCCTTCCCTGCTCAGTCTGCTCCTTTGCTCTTGTTCCTGTTTTCTCTGATCTTGCTGCCATCAGAAACGCCTTGAGCACAGAGGCTCCATTCGCTCTCCTTGCTCCCACCCTGCTTTCCTCGCATCACAGCTTGCATCCTGTGGTGGCTCAGTTTCCCCAGGAGCAGTCCCAGGCAGCACCCAGTGGCCCTCGGACCACGGCTCTCCCCGCCCAGCCCCTGCCGCCCGGCACTCACTGCAGCTCCTGCTGCGTCTGGCGGGCGCGGGGCTCTGGCAGAGCCTCCGCCAGCTGCCGGCAGGAGGCCACGCGCCGGCCGCCCGCCTCCACCTGGCGCTGAAACTTGGCAAACTCGGTGCAGAGGTGCTGAGAGGGGAAAGGGGGGCACTGGCTTAGAGCAGGCCGTGTGGGAGGCGCCCCAGCAGCCCTCCCCCCATCTGCCTCCGCATGTCCTCCCCGCTCCCCCCCCAGCCCCTGCCTCTCACCTGCACCTGCTCGGGGTCCTCTGCCAGGCTCTCCCCTGCCCTGACCACCTGCTTCTGACTGTCTAGCCAGCCCTGCAGATCCGCCGCTTCGCTCATGAACTCGTGGAATCTCAGAGTCCCCTCAAGCTCCAGGCCCCTGCAGTGACAGCCAGTGGGTCCCCAGAGATGAGTTCTCACCCCCCTGGCACAGCTGGCCAGTCTCTGGAGGCTGATCTGCAGGATGGGGTTGTTTGTGGCTTTTGCCGAAGCCTGGGACTCGGGATTCAGCAGACACAGGAAGGCAAGGAGGAGGGGGGGGGGCAGCGGCGGGGCCGGGCTCCTGCCCAGTGGGTCTTCACTGAAGAATGTGTGGAAAGATGCAAATGACACGCAGGGAAGACCCAGCCTCCCGATGCCATGTCTACGGGCACAGTATGGGACAGCCAGCTGCGGCTGGGCCCTTGTACCCTGATGACAGGGATCACAATGTCCCTCACCGGGTGGCAGCCAACTCCTGGAGAGCCCGTAGCTGCTCCCAGAGCCTCTTCTGCACGGTGCCCAGCTGCTCAGAGGCCTCGGAGCCAGCCAGGCCCTGGGCACTCTGCTCCAGCTCCAGCATGGAACTCCAGCGCAGAGCCAGCTCCTCCTGCAACACCTGCCAACGTAAGACACATGCCAGGCTCAGACTGAGACCCTTCACCTCTTCCCATCCACCACCCGTGCAGCCTCTGTACCTGTCCACCCCCACCCATGCACGTGTAGCACGTCTACTCATCATCTCCCTCAACTCACTCTTCTATGCGCTCATCCACCTGCCCCCCTCCTTCACCCACCTGCCCAGAACTGTTGGTGGGCCTTTTTTTTTTTCCGGTCATGGGGCCTGAACTCTGGGCCTGGGCGCTCTTCCTCAGCTTTTCAGCTCAAGGCTAGCGCTCTACCACTTGAACCACAGCACCACTTCTGGTGCTTTCTGCTTACGTGGTGCTAAGGAATTGAACACAGGGCCTCGAGCATGCAAGGCAAGCGCTCTACCACTGAGCCACCTTCCCAGCCCCATGTGGGCTTATTTTGTGACAAACTAGAGACATGGTCTTTGCCCTCAGAGGGCTTATTATTATTATTATTATTTGGTTGTAGGGCTTGAGCTCAGGCCTGGGTGCTGCTCCTGAGCTCTTTTGCTCTACCACTTTGAGCCACAGCTCCACTTCCTGTTTTTTTTTTTTTCTTCTGGTAGTTAACTGGAGATGAAAGTCTGGTAGGCTTTCCTGCCGGGGATGACTTTGAACTGCAATTCTCAGATCCCAGCCTGAGTAGCTAAGATTACAGGCATGAGCCACTAGTGCCAGGCTCATTACCGATCAAGAATGAAGGCTGGGAAGTCTGGCCCAAGGAAGGGAGGGCCTAGGAGGCCTTATATGAGACCTAGCATTGACGTGAAGAGAGGGACAGGCTTACGCTAAGCTAAGAGATAGACAGGCTTGAGGCAACTTAAGTTGCCTGGGGAGCTGTGGAGAGGCTTGGCCCCTGTGGGGTACACGAAGGCCATCAGACATGACCTTTACGGATGGTTCACTGAGCTGCTCAGTCTCAGGATCGGGTGGGTGGTGGGTTTGGTCTGATGGAGTCTTCAGGAAGAAAGAGCAGGCAGGCTCTGTGCCGCTGGGTAGGGTGAGACAAACTTTGTCCTTAAGGGCCACCAGCACCCACGTCCACTGCAACGTTCACCCAGGTGGTGCCTGGGTACCATACCTGGTGTTTCCAAATCAGCCTGCAGGTGGCGCTGGCATCTGTGCCGAAGTCCTGACTGCTCAGCAGCGGCCGCGCCTCCTCCACCCAGCCCTCCAGCTCTGACATGCGCAGAAAGCGCTGCAAGAAGCGTACGTGGCCACCTCAGTGACTTGGCCTGGCAGAACCCCGTCACCCGCTGAGGACACGGTGGTCACCACACCCTGGCAACCCCAGCCCCTTGCTGGCCCTGCTGTCTGCCTACCTGCTGGCAGGCGGCGGCCCGCTGCAGGCAGTGGCCTCGAGCCTCACACGCCTGCTCCAGCTCTCTCCAGCGGCCTTCCAGCTTCAGGCACTGCTCCGTGACGTGCTGGGCGTGGGGGTGTCCGGGGGCTCCGAGGCTCCGGCCGAAGCCCAGGACCCGGTGCACCTGCCCCTGGTGCGCTCTCACCTCGGCCCGCAGCACCTGCCACGCAACAGGGTGACCGGAAGCGGCCTCGTGGTCAGCCATGGAGCGTATGCGCCAGAGCTACAACCCTCGCCCCGGCCGAGAGTAGCTGGGGCCAAGATGTGGAAATGGAGACACACAGGAAGAGGGACTTGGGGGCCAGGACAACCTGAATAGCAGCAGATCTGGGGGTATGACATTGGGGTGCTGGGGGGAAGAGCAGGCTAGTACCTCGTGTTTACGTTGAAGGCTGTGGGCACCTTCCCAGCCCTGGCTGCCGCTGGCGGGGCTGGCGCTGGCCAGGTGCTCGGCCACCCAGGTGAGCTCCAGGCGGGTGAGCTGGTGGAAGTGGTGCAGCTGTACTGTGGCCTGCAGCCGCAGGCGCCGGGCGGCCAAACGGCCCTGCAGGGACTGGAACCTGCGCGGACGGAGAAGAGAGGGGAGGGTGGGAAGAGAGCAAGGGCAAAGTCCTGGTCCCTTCCTCTCCTCCGCCAAGGACCCAGGAGGAAGCGCCTCCAGCCTGCTCAGCCTGCATGGACGCCCTCTGACCTCCTTGGCCTTCCCAAGGTGCCACCACCTGGGCCCTCAGGTTGACACGGGCAGGGACGTATGACGGTGGGACAGGTACCTCTCGTGGCACTGCCGGGTCTCTTCCAGGATGGACTGTGAGCTGACCTCAGCACGGGCCTGGGACATGAGGGCCTCCATCTTGCCGGCCAGCACTTGGTTCTTGTTGTCTAGTTGCTGGTGCCGTTTCTGCAGACTCCGGCTGGCACACAGGTCCTGCCCGGTCTCTGCACTCTGCAGGGCCCCCTCCAGCTGCTCCATCTTCTCTGTGACATCCTAGGGAAGGCCATGGGAGAGCATGGTGCATTAGGATCTCCATTAAGGCGGCAGAGATCCCAGCACCCAATTCACCAGGGACGTATTGTCAACCCGCAGTGACCAGCCAGCCCCTGTCCCGTCATGCCTCTCTCCCCGAGGGAATGGAGCTGGGCACCACATGCTGAACACACGGAGCCGTGCCCAGCTGTGGGCAGGAAGCCTCCACAGGCCGTAGGTCTTCATGAGGCTGTTCCAGAAGCAGAACACCCTAATTCTTCCCTGCCTTTCAGTCCGGCCAGCTTCCATCCCCTCCGCCCCCCGGCCCCCCCGGACCTGCAGGAGCCCCAGGAGCTGTCCCTGCTGCCCGGCCCGCAGCAGCGCATCCCCACGCGCAGCCATCTTGTGGTTCAAGTCTTCCCAGTGGTGACTCAAGCCCTCAAGCCGAGTCTGTATGTCCTCCCTGGCATACGGCATACTGCATGACAGCTCTCTCCCAGTCTGTAATGGAGACAAAGAACCGGGACATTGGGGACAAGGAACAAGTACTCTTATTTTTTTTTTTTTTTGGTAGGTCGTGGAGCTTGAACTCTGGACCTGGGCGCTGTCCCTCAGCTCTTCAGCTCAAGGCGAGCGCTCTACCACTTGAGCCACAGCGCCACTTCCAATTCTCTGGGTGGTTTCTTGGAGATAAGAGTTTCTTGGAGTTTCCTGCCCGAGCTGGCTTTGAACCATGATCCTCAGATCTCATCCTCCTGAGTAGCTAGGATTACAGGCATGAGCCACTGACTCCCGGCCTCTTATTTTTTAATGTCTGGGGCTTGAACTCAGGGCCTGAGCATTGTTCCAGAGCTTCTTCTCCCCACCTCCCCCCCCAGCACCCCCCACCAAAGCTAGCACTCTACTACCTGAGCCAGTACCACTTCCAGCCTTTTCTGTGTATGTGGTATTGAGGAATCGAATATACAGGGCTTCATGCATGCTAGGCAAACACTCTACCACTGAACCACATTCCCTTCATGGGGGAGGCAGCAGGAAGTGCTCTGTTGTGGGGAGGGGCAGGCTCTGGAGCTGCCCCGCGCAGTGGAGGGGGGTGAGGGGACGTCAGTGTGTGAAGGGCTTCCTCCGCCGTGCCGCATGAAGACTCGGCCTCCCCGACCCTGTCCAGCAACGCCACCTGCTGCAGGCGCTCCACGTGCTGGCGCGCGGCCAGCAGCTCGCTCACAGCCGCTTCATGCCATCTGAGTTTTCGGAGAACGTCACTCGGCCTTTGGGGCTGCCCATCCGCCGCCGCCAGCCCCTTGTCCTCCAGCCACAGCACCAGCTCAGCAATATCCTGCTTCCATCCCTGCAGACAACCACACAGCCTGGGTCCCCGGGCCCTGGGAGAGGCCGGGGCAGGCCCGGCCTGTAGAGAGAGGGTTTCAGGGACACCCATGGGGAAAAGACCCAAAGCCAATGCTGGGGTACAAGGGAGGCAGAGCCTGAGGATACTGATCCCCAAATAGGGGCAGAGACATTGCGCCCATATCCCGCCTCCTGCTCTGGGCATCGGGTTAGTACGCAGAGGCTCTGGGAGATCTGGGCTCCAGGCCAGGCTGGAGCAGCTCTGGGGCTGCACAAAAACCAGAGCTACTGCCCTAAAGCATGCTGGGAATGGGGGGGGCACCAGTGAGCTAGGTGAGAGACCTGGACTCTGTCATCAGCTCAGGGACACCTGTCCCCCGGGAGCCCCTCACCTGTAGCTGCACCGAAGCCAGCAACCGCTCCCTCCTCTGCTCACTCCTCTCCTGAAGTCGGCTCCACTGCGCCTGTGCACTCTGCAGCTGTTCTCTGACCCTACAGGGAAGGTCGGGGAGAGGGCTGGCTCCTCTCTGCTCTGAGGAGTGCCCCGGCCCCAGGACTGACCGTCTGCCTTCTCCCAACCTGCTCCCCCAGCCTCAAGGCCGCGCCCTGTGCAGTTGAGGAAAGGCAGGACGGAGGGCCAGGCTCACTTGTACCCAGCAGGGTGTGGGCTTTGAACCAGCTTCTCGCCGTACGTCCGCAGGGCCTCCGCCCGAGGTCCCAGGGCGCTCAGGGACCACTCAAGCCTCCGGTGCTGCTGCAGCAGGCGCTGGGCCTCCCTCACATCCTCCTGGGTGCAGAGACCTGAGGTCACTCCTAGAGGACGGGGTCAGTACCATCTCACCCTGTCCACATCCATCACAGGGCCTGCTCCGGGGAGCAGGTGAGCGCCCTCTAGTGGGGAGAGCAGAGCGACACTCATACCCCCAGGCTGTCCAGGCACAGGAAGGCATCCAGGCTGGCACAGGTGGCGGTGAAACGATCCGCTTCTTTGCCAAACCTCTGCAGCTCCAGAACCTCCTGCAGCCGCTGCCGGCTCCGCTCCCACACGGCCTTCAGCTCCCGGCTGTGCTGGCCCAGGAGCCTCACTGCACTGGCCACTTCTTGGGAGTAGGGGGAGTCCATGGCTACCATGGAGGGGCTCTGAGCTTCCAGCTGCTGCAGCCTGAGACAATGGGCAGGGGTCAAAGCGCAGCGGGCTCCCCTCCCCAGCCTTCCTCCCCCCTCACAGCGGAGCTCTGCACTGAGGCCTGAGCTAGCCAGGGGGTCTGTATTATCCAGAATGGCAGGGGCAGCCAGACCACAGGGCCTCCATGGGCTCTCCCAAACAGCAGTGGCCATGCCAGGATGGACAGAGCCCCAGAGAACCAGTGTCCCAGGACCCTTCCAGAAGAAGACGGGCATCCTGACTGAGTGGGCCTGGTACCTCCTATAATCCTGCCCCAAGTAACCAGCTAGACATCAGCTTAGGCCACTCCCCTGGCGACCACAATGCTTCCCACCCTCCTACCTCACCCAACCCCCTGAGGCTTTGCCTTGATGGTCACCCGCCAGCCCCTCAGGCCAGACCTCTCCTGCCACAGGCACATCTCCTCTCGCAGGGCTCCAAGCGCCTTCAGCAGCCGCTGGGCTGAGCCCGGGTCCCCTGGCTCCTCCTCGCTGCCCAGCTGGGCCTGGAGGCCCTGCGTCCACAGCAGAAGCTGCCGGCTGTCCTGCAGGAAGCTCTCTTGCGCCCGAGCCTCCGCCCGGGCCTGGACGCGCCGGGCCATTCGCGCCTGCACCTGCTTCAGCAGCGTCTGCAGCGCCTCCACGTGCTCCCGCAGCGGCGGGCACTCTGCAGGGCCCGACTCCGCCACCCTGGGGGGGGGTCACAGGCCAGGGGACAGCACCGTGGGCCTGTGTCCCTCTGGAAAGTGGCAACAAACTCCAAGCCTGCCCCACCCCTGCGAGGAGCAGCACCAGCATGTGGCGCTTCCTTCCCCTGGCATCTTCCATCGTTGTCTCTTTACCTCTGCCCGGCCCTCCCTTCTCCTCCCTCAATTCCTTCCTCCCCGCGTCGCCCCACTCGGCGCCTCTCGCCTCCACCGCCGGCCCACACCAGCACCGTGCCAGGTCCCGTCGGACCTTTGGAGGCTCTGGATCCTCCTCTCCAGTACCAGAATCTTCTGCTGGGTCAGGTGTAGGGCGCCATGGCTGTCCTCTGCGCGCCCTGGCTCCAGCGTCTCCAGCCACAGCATCACGTCTTGCAGCTGGGCACGCATGGGGCCACACTCCTGCAGAAAGCCGCACGCCTCTGCGCGGTGCGCCAGCTGCACACGCTTCTCCTCCTTCAGCGCCTCCAGCCGCCCCCACCTAGGCAGAGGGCACAGGGCCATCTCTGTCACCAGGATCCTCAACATCCAACCTGGGGCCTTGGCCAGGGCCTTGATACGCTGCCAACCTGGCTGTCCCCTGCCCTCTCCTGTCCAATCTCTCCATGGGACATTGCAGGAGGCGCGAGGCCCAGGCCCTGCCCCACCCACCCACCCGTGGCAACCTCATTCTTGCCTCTGGCTCAGGTCCTCCTGCATCTGCTGGATTTTGGCGGCAGCTGCAGGACACCTCTGCTTCAGCTGCGCAGCACAGCCGCTGACCTCAGCCCGGCGGCCCTGGCCCGTGGCAAGGGCAGCGAGGAAGTTCTGGGGAGACGGACACAGGTGGCTGGGAGGCGGGCCTTCCTCTTCCCTTTCCCCAGGGGTGTGAAGGGATGGCGTGTTCCACCTGCCTCTGGCTGGCCAGGCTTTGGGTCCTTAGCTCCAGAGGGGACCATAGACCTTGGTTCCCTCCTCAGATAGTTAATATGCAGAATGGAGCAAGGCGGTGAACAGTGGGGGCGGGGTGGGGGGGAAATGGAGGGAGATGAGAGCACAGCACCCCAGACCTTCCTGGGAGCCCAGTACTTCGCACCTCATACTTGCGTTGCATGGCCTCCAGGTTGTCGCCCCGGGGGTGCAGTGTTCCCAGCAGGGCCGCCTGCTTCTCTATCCATGACCGGAGCTCCCCATAGGAGCTGCAGAAGCCGCACATGGCCACTGCCTCCTCCAGCTGGGTCCTGCGGAGCTGTGGAGAGGGGCTGGTGTGAGCGCCTCCGGCCGCTGCAGGATGCTCCCTGTCCTGCTGTCCATGCCAGGCCCCCAGCCGGGCCAGGGCCAGAGAAGCCCCTGCTCGGTGTCCTGTCCTTTGCACCCAGCAGAAAGTGAGAGCTTACAGCGGGCACACACCCCTCCTGTCACCTCCACAGTCCCCGTGGGCTTGGCGCTGCTCAGCCAGCGGCCCCAGCACTGCCCCCTCCGCTCCCCGCGGCTCCTCGCTCACACCTTTGCTTCAAAAGGCCTTTCCAACCCCCAAGCTAACCTAGGCTCCCCTCTCGTGCTCCTACTCACCACATCCACTGAACACTTGCTGACGGATGCCAGCCACTCAGGCAGGGAGCATGCCCCACATCGCTCTGTCCCCGGGATCACCACACAGGGCCTCGCCCAGGGAAGCGGCCTGATGATCTGTCCCCCCCCCCCCCCCCACTTCTCTCTCTGTAGTACAGGAGGCTCACCCTGGGGCATCACACAGTTAGGCAGTGATGCAATGCTAGGCCATACTGTAACCTTTTTGAGACTGAGCATTGCTGTTACCCATGCAAGTCTTGAGCTCAAGAGAGCTTCCTAGCTCTGTCTCCTGAATAGCTGAGACTATAACTATGAACATTCGTTTTTGCTTTTTAGGGATGCTGGGGTTTGGACTCAGGGCCTTGTGTTCATTAGGAAGGCTACGCCTCCAGCCCTACATTGACTGTTTTTGAGATAGGGTCTTGCTTCTTGCCTGGCTGTGCCTGAGCTATTATACACTATTTTAGGCTTCCTGATGTAGCTGGAGTGACAGGTGTGTGCCCACGAGGACCAAGTTCTATCTGTTGAGATGGATTCTTGTAAACTTTCTGCCAGAGCTGGCTTGGAACCATGGTCCTCCAGATCTCAGCCTCCACAAGAAGCTGGAGTGACCCCCACACCCAGTCACTGGTTAAAAAAGGGTCTTACGTATATGGCTGGGCTGGTTTTGAACTGTGATCCTACTGGTCCAGCTTCCCAGGTAGCTGGGATTACAGATGTGAGCCACAAACGCTAAATGAATGTTTCTTGAGTAAAGAACCTTACTTCTGCCAGGGAGCACAGGCCCTCATAGTCCTGTCTCAAGCGATCCTGTGTCTGGAGTGTGGTGTTAGGGTCAAAGTCAAGGTCAGACTCCGCCGGAGGAGCCATCCTAGGTCCTCCCCCTGGAAGGCTCAGCGCAGCCACCTCCTGTGCAGATGGAGAACCGTGCTTCAGAGCCAGGGCCCACCAAACGGCGGGAACTCTGCCAGGGGGGTGCTAGGGGGTTGTACCTGAGGCTTCTGCTCCCCGCTGTGGCTGATGGGCATCTTGTCCTGACAGTCCACCCGTTCCGCCAGCTTCCAGGTGTCCAGGGCGGTCTCTGGGAGCCAGGTGAGGCCCGCTGCAGCGGGAGCACAGGCTGGGGGCTGCTCAGAGACCGCTCCTTCCCATCCAGGGGCTTGCCGCATGGGCAGGTGAATATAATTGAGGAGTTAGTGTTTCCCTATGTCCCGCCCCATGTGAGGAGCCTTGGGGGCTAGAAAGACAAGGGCTGGACCTTCCCATCCATGGGCTCAGCCTCTCAGGAAGGCAAGGCTTGAAGACCCAGAGTAGGTAGGACACTGTCCAGACAAGCACAGGGTGTGTCATGTACAGTCAGTACCACAGGTGTCCAGGGTGGGCACAAAGGCCAAGTCAATCTGGGGCACTGGGAGAAGACCCCAATAGGACCTACCAAGGAACAGCAAGATGGCTGTGGGCAAGAGCTGGGCACAGAGAAGTAGGGAAGCCCTGGCTGCTGCCCCTCCTTGGGGATGGATGAGCACCTCATCCCTTTTTTTTAAACTTTTTTTTTTTTTGCTGGTGGTAGGCTTGAACTCTGGGCCTGGGTACTGTCTCTCAGCTCTTCAGCTCAAGGCCAGCGCCCTACCACTTGAGCCACAGCACCACTTCCGGATTTTTCTGCTTATGTGGTGCTAAGGAATCGAACCCAGGGCCTCATACATGCAAGGCAAGTGCTCTACCACTGAGCCACTTTCCCAGCCCCCCCCTTTTTTTTCAGTCATGTGGCTTGAACTCTGGGCCTGGGCGCTGTTCCTGAGCTCTTCAGCTCAAGGCAAGTGCTCTACCACTTGAGCCACAGTGCCATTTCTGGTTTTCTGGTGTTTTATTGGAGATAAGTGTCTCATGGATTTTCTTGCCCAGACTGGCTTTGAACTGCAATCCTCAGATCTCAGCCTTCTGAGTAGCTAGGATTACAGACGTGAGCCACTGTCACCCAGCCCTCATCTTTTTGTGCCTCAAGTCCTTGTGCTTGCTAGGCAGGCATTCTACCACTTGAGCCATGTCCCCAGCCAAGTGCCTTTTTCTGCCAAGTCCAAATTGGCCTCTCTTAATTCTGCCCTGAGCCTTTTCATGCCTCAGAGAGTAAAGTCTCTTTAGCCCTCTCGTTTGTGATGCCTATGAAGATCCCACACAGGTCTTGACCTTGTACCTCTGGAGGCCTGGGCGCTCAAGCCCTGGCTGTCTGGTGCTGCTGGCGTGTGGGTCTCCTGCAGGGGTCTCCTAGTTGTGTCTCCATTCATCTTGCCCCAGCCTTCTGAGGGATCTTCCTGTATGGAGGGGCAAAGGCTCTGCTTTAGAGGCTCCCCACCCCCAGTAGAGGGAGCAGTTTTCACCTTCCTACTCAGCATCAGAGGAAGAGCAGGTGTGAAAATGGCAAGGCCTGAGCCCTGGTCTGTGCCAGCATCAGTAGAAGACACATTAGGGTAAAGAAGCTCCCATTCACTCATCCACACGATTACAAAACTGGGAAAGCAGGACACACAGAACAGGAAGTAGCCAGAATAAGCACTTTGTACTAAAAGCATATATGTTACACAATATAGGCATGATTACAGATGCCCACAGGTACACGGGGTGGGGTGGGAACAGCCCTGGACAAGTGCTACGAGGCCTCTTTGGCAGGGATACTTGTGAATCTTTAGGTAGTAAACTGGACCCTGAGCCTTGGCTACCTGATTTGCAAAGACACATGTCCATCTACTTTCGTTTGTTGTTCTATGTTGCTTAGGTTGACCTCAAACTCACTGTCATTTTACCTCGTCCTCCCCAGTGCTGGGGTTATAGTTGCAATGAGAACCTGTGGCCCTGTGGCCAGGGGCTGAGTACCTGGGCACTCTGGAGATCTGAGGGGGCACAGGGGGCAGTTGGGAGGGGGCGTCCCAGGCATGGAGCTCCCTCAGCGAGGCGGGTAGGGGAGCTAAGCTGCAGGGCAAGGCGGCAGGACCGTGGTGTAGCCCGCGGCTGCTTCTTAAAGGCAAGGCCGCCACTGCCAAACTTCTGGAAAGTTGGGGAGCTGGGGCAAGTGACACGAGGAGCTTCCAAAAGCAGTCTGGTGCAGCCATTAAGCCATCCAGACCCTTCAAGGGCTGTGTGTGGAGGGATCTGCTCCCCAACCGTGAGCCAAGCCCTGCTGCACTGGGTTCAGGTGGGCAGACAGGACTGCAGTCTTCAGGGCTGGGTGAGCTGAGGACAGGCCGCAGATTTGGGGGACAAGCCAAGTAGGTGGATTGTCACCCTCTAGGTGGCTCAGAGGCCCCCAAGCCTGGGACACGGGAGACAGGCCACACATTCGGTCTGGGTTCGTCGGGGTCCGGTCCCGGGGCGCTCACCGTGAGCGATGCCCGGGCTGCGGCGGCCCGCGCCAGCTCATCCAGCCGCTGCAGCTCCGCCGCGAAGGCGCGCACGCCGCGCTCCAGCCGCAGGTGGCGCAGCAACAGGTCCTCAGCCTCTGCCTGGCCTTGCGGGGCCTGCGCTTGGCCGTGCGCGGCCTCTGTCTCCCCCAGCACGGCCTGCTGCTGCTGGAGCAGCCACGAAGCCGCCTCGGCGGCTTCCGCCAGGTACTGCGCGAGGGGGCGTGGCTGAGAACAGGCCCCGCCCCACCTTGCCCCTCCTGCCCAATGAGCAGAGCGGTTCGCATGCCCCACCCCCGCGAGCCCCGCCCACGTGCCCCGCCCATGGCTACCTGCGCCACCTGCAGGGCTGTTTGCAGCCAGGCGCCCCGCCCCGCCGCCCGCGTCCACAGCTGCTCCCAAGCTCGCTGCACGGCCTCCGCCCTCTCCCAGGGATCGGGATTCCTCGTGGGCCCGTGGGTGCTCAGGTGGCGAGCCCTTTGCGTGAGGTCAGTGCACACGGCCTGGTGGTGGTGCAGCTCGGCTTCCAGGACCTAGCAGATGGGTGGGGTGACCCAGTGAGGGAGGGGAAGGAGAAGGGCTGGGGCTCCAGCCCACAGGGGCAGGGAGCAGCTCAGGACGACCTGTAGGGCACCTTGTGTTTCTGCAGGGCCACTGCGATCCCGCTGAGGTCCCGGCCCAAGCTTGCTTTCTCCACCAATTGTCTACTGCAGTTGTGCAACCAGACCTCCTCCTCCTCACAGCGGTGCAGGAACTCTGTCTGCTGCAGGTTCTGCTCCAGCAGCATACGCCTGTAGGACCACAAGAGTCACCCAGGGTGCCTTGAATTGCTAGGGAAGGGGGTGGTGGTGGTGGAGATTCCTCTACTAGGATCTGATGTGCCCCTTACATCTTTTTCCTGAATGGACTCAGTCTTAAGGCTGAGGGTAGAGGAAGTTGCCAGGTGGTGGTATTTTAGCCTGAGAAGAAAATAATTTGGGTATCTAGAAAGATCCAGAGAAGGTTGGAGGGTGGGTGCTGGTGGCTCATGTCTATAATTCCAGGAACTCAGGCGGCTGAGATCTGAGGATCACAGTTAGAAGCCAGCCCAGGTAAGAAAGTCCAGGAGACTCTTATCTCCAATTAACCCCTGGACACTGGAAGTGAAGCCGTGGCTCAAAGTGGTAGAGTGCTAGCCTTGAGCAAAAAAGCTCAGGTACAGTGAGTGCCCCGAGTTCAAGCCCCATAGCCAACCAAAAAAAAAAAAAAGGTTGAAAAGTTGGAGCAGGCGCTTACCGGGCCTTAACAAGAGATACCAGGCTCTGATAGATGTGGTCAAGTGCCTGGGCCTTAGCCTGAAGCATCTCCACACCGGTACCCAGGGAGGAGTCCAGCTTTGAAATCTGATGGGCGAGATGGCTCACATGTGCCCCATAGGCCAAGACCTGTGCCTCTAACAGGTCATGTCTCTGCAGCAGCTCCATTACTTCTGCCAGCTGCTGCCCACAGGCTGTGGAGCTGGCTGCCACCTGCCAAGAAACCAGTAGACATCGTGGCCTCGTGTTGCTGGGAGCATGGCTCCTGTGAACACCGGTGCTGGGGAAAGACTCTCGCGAGACCTTACCCTGGCTTCCTCAGTGCTCACCTGCAGCTCCTCAAGCTGGTCAGAGACGGCCTCCACCTCCTGAAGCAGGCTCAGAACAGCCTGCGTGCCTGCCATCTGCTTCCTTTGCTTCTGGAGACTCTGAAGGAGGGTGTGCCAGCGCTGGGCGATCTCCTCCTGCCTGGAGAGGGGGGATAAGGGGCTCAGCGGGCCGGGGCAGGAAAGCTGTTTCAGGGTCTCAGCTGCTGGTGTGATTTGGCCACTGTGGTGGAGTTCGACTTCTGGGTCTGGTGGCCGAAGCAGTGTGTCCTGCCTTGGTAAAAGCCAGAGAAGCCAAAAGAAAGGCCTGGAAGATTCCATGTCCCTGGACCTTCTTGGGAGGCAGAGATGGGGAAATCTCAGTTTGAGGCCATCCCGAACAAAAGAAGTTCAAGAAACTCCATCTCAACCAACTGCTTGGGTGCAGCTATGTGTGCCTATCCTCAACTCCTGGGAGCACAGGTAGATGGATCGCAGCCCACAGTGCCTGAGCATGTATGAGATCCCACTTCAAAACCACCAAGGCAGCCCATCATCAGTAGCTTATGCTTATAATCCCAGCAATTCAGGGGGCTGAGAGCTAAGGATCACAGTTTGGAGCCAGCCCAGGCAGACAAATCCAAAAGACTCTTACTAGCTGGGCGCCCATGTCTCACAACTATAATTCTAGCTACTCAGGAGGCTGAGATCTAAGGATGATAGTTCAAAGCCAGCCTGGGCAGGAAAATCTGTGAAACCCTTATCTCCAATAAACTATTCAGAAAAAGCCAGAAGTGGTGCTGTGGCTCAAGCCTTGAGTACAGACAGGCTAAGGGACAGAGGCCAGACCCTGAGTTTAAGCCCTAGGACCAGCAAAAAACAACAACAAAAAACCCCACAAAATTCTTACCTCTCACCAGCAAAAAGTCAGAAGTGAGGGCTTGGTGCAGGTAATAGAGTGCCTGATTATCAAGTGTGAGGCCCCGAGTTCAATCACCAGTACTACCAAAAACCAAAAACCCAAAAATCCACATTTGAAGTGGAGGTGTGGCTCAAGTGGTAGAGTGTCAGTCTTGAGCAAAAAAGCCAAACGAGATTGAAAAGCCCCAAGTTCAAGCCCCAGTACCAGCATGAGCATGCACATAAAAAAGATAGTTCTTTACCTAAAGGCATGAATTACTGGTAGTGAATATCAGGCATCCATGGGAGCAAATCTAAATCACTGTTTCCTCCATGGCCAAGAGTAGACCAGGAATGTAAGGGAGGGGTGTGGAAACCTTAGCTTGTGAGAATGGATCCTAGGCTTGAGGCTTACCTGTAGACCACATCTGCCCAGCTGTGATACTGCTCCTGCCGGAGGATGTCTGCAATCTCAGCCAGGGCCTGGAAACGTCCTTCCTGGGGCAGGATGCTGGCCTCCAGCATGCCCAGCCTCTGGGAGGCTGCCTCCACGGTGACTGAGCTGGCTGGGGGGGCCCTGGTCTGGTCCAGAGCCTGCTCTGAATCCTTTAGGAAGCTTTCCCGGAGGGCTGCCTTGCGCTGGAAGCGCCCGGCCAGAGTTTCCAGTCGCTCTAGCTTTAGTAGTCTCTGCTGCAGGGCCTGGCTCCGGGCCGCCTCTGCCCGCTGCAGCCCTGACCAGCGCTGGGAGAGCTCTGCCAGGCTCAGGCCCTCTGGAGGCAGGTAGGGCCTGCGGTTCTGGGCCCGGAGAGCAGTCTGCAGCCGGAAGAGCAGGGCCTCGGCGGCTCCCCGCTGCTGCAGTCTGGGCGGCTTTTCCTGGGTGCGGAAGCAGGCAAAGGCCGCTAGCAGCTGGCGCATGGCAGGCAGGGAGTCCGGGAAATCCCTGGCGTCCAGCTGCATCTGCTTCTCTGTGATCCAGCGGAGCAGGTCGGCCACCAGCTGCTCGTACTGAGTCTGCAGCGCCTCGGTCTCCTGGAGCTGAAGTAAGATCTGGTGGGGGTGCAGAGGGAGAATCAGGGCTCCCCCACACCCCCAAGAAGGGGGCAGGCTTGCCATGTGTCTCCTGTTGCATGCTGGGTGTTAGCCAGCGTTGCCCAAGTGGGCTGTGGCTCATCCTACAGCAGGGGGTACACCGCCCGCCCCCCAGCACCCAGGGAAGAGGAGGCATGGCTCCGTCAGACGCAGGCATGACTGCCGAGGGCTTGTCTTTCTCTATCTCACTTTGCCTGCTCTAGCTGCCTCCACGCTGCCCCTCTTTCTGGTCCTCCTGCTCTTCCCTGTGCCGCCCCCCCCCACTCTGCCAAAACAGCCTGTAGCGCCTCCCCCCACACCATCCCCGGCACTAACCGGCACAACAGCCTTCCCGGGCCTCAGTCTGTGCCATCGTATCCAGAGAGTGAGAGACCCTCCCAAAAACATGGGTCCGGGGTCACCCCTGACCCAGCAGGGCCTCTGCTCCGCCTGCCTTCGCAGACGCTGGCTTCCTAACCTTTTTAATCCCATTAGGAGCTTAACAGTTTGTGAGTGACAAAGAGGGGACAGGACAGAAGAGGGCACCGGTCCCCTGTCCACCCGAGTCTGCCAGACGGGCACTTCACACACGCGACAATCCATGCATCATCAGCTCCTGTTACCAGTGGAGCTCAGAGAACTTAGGCAACTTGGCCAAGGCCTCACAGCAGGTATGTGTGGCCTTGATTCCGGACCTTGGCGAGTCTCTTCTGCACCGTCTGCCCGTGGTGCAGGCGGGAGAGGCAGTGGTAGTAGAGGGAGACGTAGGTCATGATGGAGCGCTCGTCTGGCTGTGGAGCGGCCACGTCCTCGGGGTCCAGCAGCTGGGCAATGCCGAGCTCCCGCTCAGCCACGTGGAAGGCCGACGCCAGGTTGTGCAGCGCGCGCTCGGGCCGCAGGGAGCTATAATCTAGCAGGTCTGGCCTGGGCGGACAGAGGCGGGAAGCGCTTTTCAGCGTTTGCTCTGCTGGAGTTCGCTGACACCTGGGTTTGAAGGACGAGTAGGAGCCCGCGGGAGAGGAAGGTTCATCTGGCACAGGGCTGGGCTGGGGGTAGGGGAGGAAGTCCAAGCCGAGCTGGCTCTAGCCAGGGAGAGTGTAGTGAAAGGAAGCCAGTGGCTCAGACGGTGGAGAAGGCAGGGGTCAAAGGCAAACCCGGCCATCTCTGTGGCCTGCCCTAGAGCAAAGACTCAAGACTCCAACCCGCTTTACTTCTCAAAGCCCAGGGATTGGGGGGGGGGACATGGAGAAGGGGCAGGAGCTCTGGGCCTAGACACGAGGCTGGGGCTGTACCTGTGCGCATGGAGGAGAGCGTTAAAACCCAGCCCGTCACTCCAGCTGTGCGAGAAGTCGGTGATGTCCACGTTGGCGTAGCTGGCTGTCTTCCGCTGGCACCAAATAAGCAGAGCTTCCTTGGCGGACAGCTGGGTTGCGCTGGCTCCAAACTCCTCCTGGCAGGGCAGGGCGGCCACTGTGTGTGGTGGGTATGGGTGGAGTGCACTTCCTCTTACCTGATTTTATCCGGGGAGGGTGGGGATGGGCAGCACCTGGAAGCCCCGAGCCTGCAAGCTATTAGCGCAGAGCAGCAGGCTTCACTTTGCAACTGATGGCCACATATGGGAGGGGCTCTTAGTTCTGAGTCCTTCTGAGAGGCCGGTCATGAAGCTAGCTAACCTGGGGCTTCACAGCATGAAGGTCCTTTCCTATCACTCAGGATTACTTTTATTTATTTATTTTTTTTTGGTCAGTCATGGGGCTTGAACTCTGGGCCTGGGCGCTGTCCCTCAGCTCTTCAGCTCAAGGCGAGTGCTCTACCACTTGAGCCACAGCACCACTTCCGGTTTTCCAAGTGGTTTATTGGAAATAAGAGTCTCACGGCCTTTCCTGCCCGGGCTGGCTTTGAACCGTGATCCTCAGTTCTCAGCCTCCTGACTAGCTGGGATTACAGCTGGGATTACATCGGTGGCGTGAACCACCAGTGCCCAGCTCACCACAGGCTTTTTGTGGGCCCTTGTAGTAGGTACCAAGGTTGGTGTTTACATTCTTCAGTGACAAGGAAGTACAGTCAGTCAGAGATCAGGACGTTGTTTGGGGGTCCCCAGTAGGGGTGGGGGTAGTCTGCACCCTAAATCTCTGACAGAGGTTTCAATGTCCGGGGCTGCTGCAGGCTGTGGAAGGCCTCAGTGGATCTGCTTTCCATCCCCTCCCACAATGGCCCAGGGTTTCCAGCCGAGCCTTGGCTTCTTTTCATTTGGGTTTCATTGTTTTCCTAACTTACAGAATGGAATTTCAGGTGGTGTTGGAGAAATCCTAAAACTGCGAAAATGGACACATGTATCTAATTTTCTCTTGATTCTTTCTGATCTGGTTGCAGGGGAAAAGAGGTAGGACGGGAAAAGTCAGGGACCACAGGTGTTCGGGATATGGGGGCTTTATGTGTTTCATTTCCCCTGATGGGCGGTATGGAGCCTGAGAGTTAAGGGTTCCATCTCCAAGCAGGGCACAACAGACCAGGGGTGGAAGCGGGTGCCCGGCAGCCACCCAACCCCTCCTTCGTGGATGACTTGCCCAGGCTGGGTCTGAGGACCGATTCCAGTCCTCCCTTCAGGCTTTAGCAACATTTCCAGCATTCTGGGTTGAATACTGAAATCATACACGCCAAGACCTGCTGTGGGAATCACAGAGCGGCCCCTGGGAACCCGGGGTGGGGTGGGGTGGGCAGGGTTGGGCTGGGTCACGGTGGTGGGCTCAGACATACCCTGTCCAGGGAGATGTGGGAAATCTGGAACCGCAGAATGATGATCCACAGGAGCCCCAGGATGAGCGACTGGTCTCCATCCACGATGTTCTCTGGTCCGATGAGAGGAATAGGCACCTGGGGGTGGGGATGGGGCAGGCACCGTTGGCTGGGCTGAGCCATGAAGCCTGTGGTCCCCAGGAATCAGAGGAACCAGAAGTTCAGAGGGGTGCTGTCAGGTTGGGAGGGCCCTGGAATCCAAGGGGGGTCTCCCTTAGGGAGAATGGGCATCAGACCAGGCCAAGAAAGAGATAGCTTGGTCCACACCCACTCTGGATGATGGCCTAGAGCCTGGTATACTGGGCTGGGTCCCTGGGTAAGGGACCCCAGACACGAAACACAGGTTAAACCGGGGCCAAAGTCACTGGTTCAGCTACAGGAGTCGGAAACGAGAGGTCATTAATAGCAAATGTGCAAGCTAAACAGACCACATCAGTGTCGGCCTCCACGTCCTGGGGAACCCTGAGGTCCCTAGGGGTATTGGGGTCCTGGCATTACACTGGAATCCCAGTCCTATTAGATTTTCATTTTCATCCAATGGAACCTTTAGGAACTTGAGTCTCGAGCCCCATGCAGTCAGACTCAACAAACACCTGCCATGCTCTTCCGTGGAGCCTCTGCCCCACAGCTTGTCACTTGCACAGGAGGATGGAGGAATCAAGGGGAGAGCAGGACGGAATGAACACCCAGGCCCCAGAGGACCTGGCCCTGGCTACCTGGGGCTCCATTGTCACACTCTGTTCATCACCCCGAATCACACCGCACCCAGGCCCGTGGGCTTCTCAGAGGCGTCTTGGGTACTATGAGTCTGTACCCCACTGAGCTGACAGGCTCAGTGGGCAGAGCTGGGCTTTGCACGTCACATCCCAGGGCCTGGCCCGGAGCTCAGCATGTGGTGAGGTTTCTGTAATGACGATGGTTCACTCCTGCTGCTAGTTAAGCTCGTGTGCATGAGCACACGTGTGCCCGGGCGTGGGGGGAGCTGGGGGGAGGGCTCCCTGGGCATGGGGGGAGCTGGGGGGATCTGGGGGGAGGGCTCCCTTGTCCTGACCATGCCTGCCTCCCTCCCACTCAGCAGTGACCTGCTGTAGCCAGAGCTCCAGGAGAGCTGACTCTCAGGCCACTGCCCCCAGCACCTCAAGGGCCTGGCTCTTTCTGTAGCTGGCTGGACCCACAGTGGTGCCCTTCCTGTGACTTTGGTGTCTTCTGTCCTCAGCCCCGGGGAGCCGCTGGGAACCTCCATCAGGAGGTGTGCACCCTGCACACACACGCCAGAATCAGAGCAAGGCCAGGAGCTAGTTTCCCAGTAGACATAAAAGGAGCTCTTAGAGCGCTTGCTTTTTCTCTTTAGGGCTTGAACTCAGGGCCTTGAGACCTCTCTAGTGCTCTACTACTTGAACCATGCCTCCAGTCTGGCATTGTGCTGGTTAATTGGAGATGGAGTTTTAAGACTATTTCTGTCCAGGCTGGCTTCTAATCTTGATCCTCCAATTCTCAGCCTCTCAAGTAGCTACGATTACAGGCATAAGCCACTGATGCCTGGCTCTTCCTTCCTTTTAGTGACCATCTCTTCGTCCAGTCTCTTTCTCAAATCTTCCTATGTGTGGAAGCTCTTCTCCCCCCCGCCCCCCTCCACGGCTCCGCGGATTTAGCGGCTGAGTCATCCCGGCCTCTGGGTCCACATGTGTGAAATGAGAAGACAGATTTGTTTAGCACAGTATCCTGCATTGTCCCTTATGAGACAGCGACCTTTCCAGGCCTATTACAGTAGGTGGCTGCACTGCAGCTGGCTGGGGGCTGTCCAAGTCAGGACACTTTTGCTGTTATGTCTGCTGCATCCTTGCTAGGCCTTTAATGTTTAGTCCCAGATCCTCTCCCGCCTGCCCAGCCACCCAGCTAGCGCCCTGCTTTGCGGCCGTGCCCTGCACACACCTTGGCCCTGAGGAAGGCCAGTGCCCGGCTGTTGTTCTCCAGGAAGTGCACGCGCAGGCGGCCGTGGCTGGGCGGCGGCAGGGCCTCTCCCGAGATGAGCTCCAGCAGCCGCAGCAGGCGGGTGCCATCGGCCAGCTCCGTGTACAGGTTCTGGATCCTGATGCCCACCTGGGGAGCAGGTGGGGTAGGTAAGAGAGCAGCCCCGTCTCCCCTGGGAACCCCAAAGGAAAGGCCTCTGTCCTTAGCTCTGCTGTAGAGGCCACAGCAGCCCCCCCCCCCAGCCCCGCTCACCTGGCTCAGCCGGAAGATGTTATTGACCCACTTGGTGAATGTCTTCTCTTGCACGCGTGCGTGTCGACTCTGCAGCTTTCGGATATGGCCCGCCTCATAGTCAGAGGCCATGGTGGGACCTGGGTGGGGTGAGACCTATGTTGGGCCTGGGTGTGGAGGGTGGGTACTGAGGAGCTCTCTGCTGGGGGTATGTGGGGGGGGTCTGGGGCTAAGCCTAGCCCCATGGTATGGTTTGTGACCTGGAGCCTAGACAAGCGAGGTCCGGTGCTCCTGGGCTGGTATCCAGGACCCATTTGCCCATCCCCACCTTCCAGGTTCTTCTCAAGAATCCTGGCTGCCAGTCCCTCAGCCACAGCAATCTGACTCCGCTCCTTGGGTTGGTGAGCGCGAGTGGAAAGGAGACCGAGCTGCTCACCTTTGGCGATGTCTGGTGCGTGGAGGAGCCCGGGGAGGAGCCCTGCTGGTCGGCTGTGATGGCAGTCAGCAGAGGCTGGGCCTGGAGGAAGAGGCTCAGAGAGGCCAGGGTGGAGCTGCCCCTCCCTCCCCCCCTTTGCTCCAAGCTGCCAGGGGTAATGATACACAGGCAACATTGTCCTCCCCCCTGCTCCAGGGCGTGGCCCAGACAGGAGGAGGTGGCTCCAGAATTCCCCAGACCCATTGCTGGAGGGTCTCCTCCATCTTCCATGCCGCCCCCTGGAAAGCTTCCCCTGTGGTCAGGCGGGGGTCCTGGTTCTCAGAGGGTTAAATTGGGTCCCAAGTTCATTTCTGAAGCTTTTTTCTGTGATCAGGAGGGAGTTTCTCACCCAGATTCTTGGCTCAGAGATGCGTGGAGGTCTGTATCACTAGCAGGGTGGATGGGCACGGGGGCAGAGGGGGGCCCAGTGTGTGCTGTTGGGGTACACGTGAGGCCAGGCCGCCAGGTGCTCCTCCCTGGGGTCAGCAAGCTTGGGGGTTTATATCAGGCAGGCCTGCGCCTCTAGGGGCCACTCGAACCCTTGAAGCTCCCAGGGCCAGATTCCCCTGTCTTGGTTCTCAGCCTCCCACTACAGCCAGCTGCCCCTTGGTGGGAGTCACCAGAGGAAGGGTGTGGGAAGAGTTGGGGATAAAGGACGGCGTGAAGGGGAGGCCACACTGTCTCCCTGACCCCTTCACCTCCCCTCAAAATGAGCCTAAGGGACACAGGCTTTGCTCGGGAGAGCCACGCAGTGGCCAGAACCCCAGAGACAAGAGGCGATTGTTTCATACGTTTATTGATACGTTTACTGTTTTCTCTTGACACTTGTGACATTACAAGAAAAAAAAAAAAAGCCCTGTTGTGTAGACACTGCACTGGCTAAATGATCTCTAACCTGAAACTCTTACATTAGGTCTTTGGTTACTTGAATAAACTCAATGGTTATCTGTTGAAAGAAGGTATATATTTATTTTTGTTACAGCAAGAGAAAATAACACAGTTAAAAGTCATCCTTATGTTCACAGCAATTCATTGTGTTCACAGCAATTCGTTGTGTGACCGAGGGCGGTGGTGGGCAGGAAAGGCCTGGGCGGCAGATGGCAGGCTCTGACTTGGGAAGCAGCCTGCCCTGGGCAAGGTATTTGGGACACAGGCTCCCTGAGAGAAGCCAGCCCTTAGGGGACCCATAGAATAAGGAGAAAGGTCTGTGAGCTGCAGGTAGGGGAGGAGTGGAGGGAGGCTTATGACCCAACCCTGCGACACACGCAGGAATTCAACAACCCCAGGCCGCCCAACCACAGACCTGAAACAAAGCTGCTCTCTACCAATGGAAAAGGCCGAGGGCCTGAGTGAGTAAAGCCAGCCCTGGAGGGATGGAGGGCCTGGCTCAGGCCAAGTGAGCATCCGCGAGTTGAGTCTTCGGAGGAAAGAAGTGGACCACACTTTGGGGCTGGAGCCACTGGGCCACCTGTGTCCCCCACAGAGCTAGGGGTTCTGCTGAGTGAAGCGTCTTTTCAGTTGGGCTCAGTGGCCTCATTAGCAGCTTACAGCTCGGGAGGTGACAGATGGGAGGAGCAGGCGGAGCACTCTCTTCCCCTAACTCAGGGCTGCACAGGCCTGTTACACGATGCCATGGGCCGGGTGAAAATAGGACTTGGAGATTTTCTTTGGAACCAGGGCAAGCATTCTGGTCTAGAGTTTAAATACTGACACACGTCCTGTGTATAAACACACTGAGGGGTTATTTTGAAAACTGGGTGACATGAGTTGTGTGGTTTGTAAGGAGACTCAGGGAAGGAAGATAGGTCCTCAGCACAGCAGGATTCAAGTGGGGCTGGAGCATGATTGGGTGTTAAGGGCTCAGACATCATCAGTAGACCACGCAGTGATGATTCACAGACGAATGGACTATTAGAGGAGGCGGGGCTTAGCTGGAGGAAGTGGCTCACTGGGGACTATCTTGTCCAGAGTTTGTGTCCCTCCCCGCTTCCTCCACCCCCCACTACTAGCCTTCCCTTCCTTCCTGGCCTCCATGAGGTGAATAGCCTCCTCTGCTACCACTGATGTTCTGCCTCATCTCACGTTCAAAGCCACAGAAGCAGCTGACCACGAGCTAAAAACTCTGCCACCATGAGCCCACGCCAACCTTTCCTATTTTAAGGCAACTCTGTCCCAGCAACAGAAAGCCGAGAGGGCAATGTGCTTGGGGTGAGGTGTGTGGAGCAGGAAGTGGGGCTTCATGTTGGTCCCTGAAGACATCCAGCCTCGCTTGGTCACCAACCTGTTAACCTTTGTTCTGAGCTTTTTCTTTTCAGTACTAGGCTTTGAATTTAGGGCGTCACCCTTTTTTGCTTTAGTTATTTTTAGACAGGGTTCCATGTTTTTGCCTAGGGCTTGCCTGAACTGGGATCCTCCTCCTATGTCCTTCTGTATAGCTGACACCATAGATGTGTACTACCATGCAAGGTTTATAAGTTGAGATGGGATCTTGCTAACTTTTTGCCGGGGGTTATCCCCGAACCACATTCTTCCTGATCTCTGCCTCACCTGTAGGTCTTGAGAACCTTACATGATACATGATTTCATGTTGTAAGAGAGACTATGAAAAGTGTTCTGGGCATTCACACAAGTGAGACCAAAGACACAATGCCTATGTGCCTCTGATCATACTAACTAATACTTATAGAAGAGGAAATGGAAACAAGATGTTTATTTTCCTTTGTTGCTGTTTTCATCTTTTCTTTTGGGGAGGGTGAGAAGTATGGAAATGGTGGGACAAAGGGTGGACAAATGCAGCAGTGATACTAGATGCCATGGTGAAATGAACTACGACTTGTGGGTGAGGATGGGAGGGAAACACTGGGAGAGAGTGAAGGAAGGGGGAGATGTTGTCCAAAAAGTAATACACTCTTAGCCGGGCGCTGGTGGCTCACGCCTGTAATCCTAGCAGGAGGCTGAGATCTGAGGATCGCGGTTTAAAGCCAGCCCGGGCAGGAAAGTCGGTAAGACTCTTATCTCCATTAGAACACTACAAAACTGCAAGTGGTGCTGTGGCTCAAGTGGTAGAGCGCTTGCCTTGAGCTGAAGAGCTGAGGGACAGCGCCCAAGCCCAGAGTTCAAGCCCCATGACCGACCAAAAAAAAAAATGTACTCTTCACGTGACTAATATGACAACAATAAAAAATTAAAAACAACACAAGAGGGTTATTATCCCTCCCACACCCGAGAACATTACCAGACCCCAGCGGGAAGCTGAGGATCACACTGCCCTGAGAAGTTTCCTGGAGCTGAGAAACCAGAGCCTAGGGCTCCACCATTGTTCCTTACAAAACCTCTAGAGACACAACTCGGCCAGCTTCACGCGTGAGCAAACTGACAAATATTAAAAAAATCTACACACACGTGATGTAAATAGGTGCATATATTTGTTACAGATTACAACTGGGCAGAGTTAAAGCAACAGGAGAATCCTAAATAGAAAGCCTGCCCTCCCTGGCATCTTGACTGAGACTCTGGACAAACTGGGGCTCCACAGGCTGCCCTCTGGTGACCCCACTGTGCTGGCTCACAGAGCCATCCTGCTCATTTTACAGCCCTGGGACCCTGCAATCTCTACCACCACCCCCACCGTGTGTCTTAGTGATTAAAAAGTGCTCATTCAGATTACAAACCACACTACACAGCTGGGTGCTTGTGGCTCAGGCCTGCAATCCTAGTTACACAGGAGGCTGAGACCTGGGTAGAAAGATTTCCTAGACTCTGTTTCCAAAATAACCAGAAGCTGGCCTTGGAGGTGGCTCCCTGCTTCCCACCAAGATAAAAATAATACTAGGTAATTGCTTCTCCGAAAACTGAATTATTTAGAAAGTAAGTTAGGGAATGTGCATAGATATCACCAGAGGCAGGTGAAAGAAAAAGAAAAAAAGATGTGTTTTTTGGAAGGCTCCCTGGAATTGTTCTGGTTCCATTCATTCTGGGGGCTGGCAGGCCGTGTGGGATGCAGCCATTGCTAGCTCGTTGCTCTCGGCTACGGCATGAAAAACACAGAAAACAACCTGCCTGCCTCCCAGAGCCGGGTCCCCCAGCGGAAGGGGCAGTGGTGGCAGGCATCTGAACGTGGGCTTCGAGGTTTTACCCACGGGCCTGCGGAAGGAGCAACAGGAAGGTCCGTGGCCACGGCCCACCTCAAGGTGGGCATGCAGGTGGAAATGATGCTCAGGGACTCTGAGAAGGTTTCCTACAAAAAGATTTTTGGAGAAGGATTTCTGAAGAACATGTACTTTTCAACAACATTCAGTGTCGAACTCCAACCGGACTGATGTCTTCTATCCAACAGTCCGGGCAAGGCTGAGGCCCTTGAACCCTTTTCTTACATTCTCTCACTAGTGACCCTAGGGCCTTGGATATGGCCCACAGCAAGATTGCTGCATTTAAATCCTGGCATCCACCAGAAAAATCTAGGGGCGTTTGGTGGCTGTGGACCACACTGACTATGGAAGAGAATCACCTCCTTTCCATGCTGTAGTTGAAGTCTGCCTAGACTCTGCTATAATCTCTTGGGTAAGCTCATCAGCAAAGCAAATTCCCCCGACATCAACGTGAGCTGAAATGCCAACAGGGTTAAGGTTACAAGCTCCAAAATTCCTATGTGAATCCAGCTTGGGGGTTGCGGGGAGGCTGTGGTGGGGGTGCTGCAGGGACAGGGCACAGACACGGTGCCTCCTCTCCGAGCTGGGCATCCATCTTCTCTTTGGTAGTCAGTCTGGGGGGAGCAGGAACTCTCTGCTCTGTCTCCTCTAAATAGAGCAGGAAACACATTAGGTGAAATAAATAAGCAATCTCTGCGGCCTCCTGGGGCCCTGTGATATAGACAGGTGCTGGGACGCTCATGATGACCACAGCCCAGCCCAGTGCACAAGACTCAGGTAAGGCCCTGGCTTGCTTCCTGTAGCTCCAGCAAGCCCGCGGCCACCTGTCCAATTTCTCCGGGCTTGTGAGTTGTCTTTGGCTAATTTCCTTTTCTTCTCAAAATTTGCAATGTCCTCGTCCATCCTCCCTTTCCTCCTAGAACTCGTAGAGAAATTCGGGGAGTTTAAGAGGTGAAAGGAGCTCATCTGGCATCTAAAATATGCCCTCCCAATTTGATCGAGGGGGAAGCTGAGGCGCACAGAGAGGGCGGAGGCCTTGCCCGAAGTCATTCAGTGGGTCAGCGGCAGAGCAGGCTGCAGCCCCAGTCCCATCCCCCACCCCAACCCTCCGCCCTGTTCCTTGGCCGCCCTCAGTCGGCCTTTGGCAGGGACTTCCTGTGAGACGGGGGCACCAGGTGGGGCGGCAGGCTGTGGGGCAGCTCATAGCCATCGAGCTTGATCTTGATGAGGTGCTTGGCCAGCGCGAACTCCTCCTCGTCCAGCATACCATCGCAGTCACAGTCGGCCAGCTTCCAGATCTTGCCCAGAACACTGTTGGGCAGCTTGGAGGTCACCATTTCCTTCTTGGCGTTGACGCCCGATATCTTGCCGTTGATGGGCGACAGCGTGTAGAAGAGCTCGTCGTAGACGGGCTTGTCCTTGGCCACCACCCACTCCTCGTCGTCGGCGCCCTCCTTGGCACCCTCCCCGTAGCCCTGGTTGAAGGGGCCCTCGGTGGTGCCGTCGAAGGCCCCGCCCTGCACCAGCTGGGTGGGCATGCTCATCTCCTCCTGGCTGATGAGGCTCATCAGGGACGCGATCTTGTTGCTCAGCATGTTGTCCACGGCCTCGATCAGCTTGGGCTTCAGCGAGTGGAATTTGGTGAAGTCATAGTTCTCCAGCTGTTCCTGCAGGAGGAGAAAACCACACGCTCGGTGACAGACTTTTCTACAGCTGCTGATCTTTGGGGCTAGATGTGTGCTCCAACTGCTCCAACTCGGAGAAAAACTTTCCCCTACCTTTTTGTTGGTGGTATGAGGATTTACACTTTGCCACTTGAGTGACACCTGGCCCTTTTCTGCTTTAGTTAGTTTCTTTTTCAAGTAGAGCTTGAAAAAGGGTCTATTTATGTGTCCCACACAGAAGGGACCACCAGTATACACCAGCTACACTGGTGTGCTAGAGTGTACATTGTAAAGGAAGAAAAACATCCCAGATGTTTAGTTTCTGCTGGCTTTGAAAAGGGATTCCAATTTACTTACAGTAAAAAAGGGTTAACATGAAACAGAAAAAAGCCAGTGTTAAGGGAAGAGGCAAATAATGAGGAGGGATAAGCGTTCATCCCCTCAAACACAGGAACTGAGAGTTCTGAGATCCGCAGTTGCTCCGAGGTCTTTAGGGGCTCCTCCTTCTCCCTACTGTTCACAGCCTTCCTGGAGGACAGAAAACACCTGCCCATCACAAAGGATGAACTGTCCCTGGTCCTGAACTGTGCCAGCTACCTGAGACCTGGCATTAGGGGCATCTGGCTTTCCCTAGAAATTTTACTGAGTAAATACAGAAATTTCCAGGTATGGTTTTTTTTTTTTTGGTTGTTTTTTTTTTTTTTTTGTCGGTCGTGGGGCTTGAACTCTGGGCCTGGGTGCTGTCCCTCAGCTCTTCAGCTCAGGGCGAGCGCTCTACCACTTGAGCTACAGCGTCACTTCTGGTTTTCTGGTGGTTTATTGGAGATAGGAGTCTCACAGTCTTTCCTGCCCGAGCTGGCTTTGAACCGCGATCCTCAGATCTCAGCCTCCTGAGTAGCTAGGATTACAGGCGTGAGCCACCAGCGCCCAGCTTGGTTGTTGTTGTTTTAAAGGACAATTTATGAAGTATTTCTGTATGGACAATTCTATAAGGAGCAGAGAGACCGTTCAGGTATGTGATTTTCTGGAGACGAGGCAGGGAGATTTCAAGGAAAAAGTCTGACTTTGGATAGAGCAATGTGAAAGGCTGTTAGGAATTTGTGTGTGTGTGTGTCTTTATCATAGACATAGACACTATATGTTTATTGTAAAAGAGAAAAAAAACTGGTGAGCAAAAATAAAAACAAAATAATTTATACAAGCACTCAAAAATAGTCTCTGCTAATACTTCTCGTCCTACATTCCTACTTATTTACAGGCTTTCTCTGTAATATACAATCACACTGTCAATCTGCATTTCAAAGAGATAATGTGTCTTCTCTGTCCATGGTGTTTCTTCTTATTAAACCTTGTTCCTAACAGCCACACGACATGGACAGGCCATTCCTATTTACTCTGTCCCCTGTAGCTGGATGTGGTCACTGTTCCAAACACAGAACCAAAATCGTGGCCTCCAGGGTGTGTTGAATGTAGATGGGGAGCCCTGAACTTAGACGGCCGGGGGACAAGGCCAAAGCTGCACAGCCTGTTGTGTCTTCCGCACGCTTGATGGCTGCACTGGAACTCAGTGTGGGCCGGGTTCCTCCCCGAGCGGTGGGTAGACCAGGCTGCTTTCTAAAGGCTCCTGTGTCCTTCATCACCTCTGGCTGATTAGAGGTACTAGCACGGCCCCCACCCCCCAACCCCAGCATTCTGGCTCCTGCTACCGGTGCCTACTTCAGCCGAGGGGACCAAGCAGTGAGCTGAGGAGGAGGAGGGTGAAGAGAAGAGGAGGAAGAGACTTCCTACACAAAAATCCCAGTGCTGCTGGGTAAGCAGTCTGGATTCCCCTGGGTGCACAAACACCTACCCTGTCCTCAGGATCGCGCCGCGCCCTGAGCACACAATGCCCTTGTGTCTGGGTAGAGGACGCAGGAGGAGGATAGCCCCCCTAACTGGATTCCGAGGGCAGAGCTCTGGAAATGACCAGAAAGCAGCTACCATTCCTGCCACGGAAACACACAGGAAATAACCCCCACGCCCCTGCCCCTGTGGCCCCACAGGCCTGGCCAGGGAGGACGGAATATAAAACACCCACATCGTTGCCCGCCAGAAGAGCAGGAGCACCGGCATGGTTGCTCCAAAACAGCTGCTCTTTTTTTTTTTTTTTTTTAAATTGAGATGATTACGTACAGGGGAGGAAAACACACATCCCTCTGCACCAAGCCCAAGAGCCTGGAACGTCTTCTGCCTCAGGAGTTCCCTATGTTTGCCAGGGTGGTTTAGAGACACGCGGAGGGTTAAGAACAGGCTGGAGGTCTCTGCTGCCCCCTGCTGTTTAAACATTGCCAGTGCATCAGCCCTGGGATTCATTCTCCTTGGTTGCAGGACGATTAAGAACCAGCTGTAAAGGTGTGTGTTTTGGAGCATGCACACATCTGTGCCATAAATCACATTCCCTCTGGCCAGGCTGCTCATGTGACTTTCTCATGGGAACGATTGACCTGTCTAGCTAAAGGTCTTAAAAGATGGGGGATTTCTACTTGGCTCACAGGAATTTATCCTTCTGGATCTCCATTCAGATGAATCCGTCACGTTCTCCTTCATCCTAAACTGCGAAACCCTCATTGTGTCCCCCATAAACAGCTGGCTGATGTGTTGCAGCATTTCCACCCTCTCTGTCCCAGGCTCCCAGTACCTGCATGGCCTTGACCTCAGGGAAGTCCCCGGCAGAGATCTGGTATTCTCGCTGCAGTTGGATGTAGATTTCTGGCAGCCTGCTGATGAGTTCTCGCTTCTTGTTTTCCTTTCCAAATACATTGGGCATCTCTTTCTTCAGGTAGCTGATGATATAGGCATGTACCTGAAGGGGACATCAGGAGAGGACAGGCTGTTTGGAGCTGCTACAGAGAAGAAGAACAAACAAGACTCCCACGTGGAGCCATGGCCCTCAGGCATGGAGGGTGGGCAAGGATCCACGGGAGAAGGGGCTGTTTAAGGGTGGCTGGACTGTCCATCCAGAGGTCTGGACCACTGTCCTGAATGATGGATTGAGAGCTGTAGTTTGCATAGGGATGGACGGGGGCAGGGGGGAAGAGTGGTCACAATGGACAGACAAACCCCCTACCATCGGGGGTCAGGTGGAACTGGGCTCTGGTGGCTCATACTTGAATCCTGGCTACTCAAGAGGTTGAGACCAGGAACTGTGTTTGAAGCCAGCCTAGACAGAAAAGTCGGCACGATTCTATCTTAAACTAGCCAGCAAAAAAGCTGGACTAGACGTGGGGCTCAAATGGCAGAAGGCCAGCCTAACAAGCGAGCTGAGGGGCAATGTGAGGCCCCGAGTTCAAGTCTAGGAACCAGCAAAAAAAAAGGTGTGTGCATGGGAGGGGTCAGGTGTAGAGAAGGGGAATTAGAAAAACACTGGGGGTCAGACATGGACCTGAGGACAAGAGAAGAGGTGTTGCGGGGTGGGGTGGGGTGGGGAACTGTGCTGATCAGGTAGAAGGCGTCCAGCCTTCGGCTCCAGGCAGCAAGAGCCCCAGAAGGACGCTCTGCTGACCTGCTCTTTGTGCTAATGCTGGTTCTGCAGGAGCATCGAGGCCAGAACACTGCTGAGGGCCACGTGCTTCCTAGGTGGGCTGGGATGCCTGGCCGGGGACGGGGAGGGGCGAGGTGGAATCGCTCAGAGGACGTGCTTTGGACTTCTGTTCTAAAATGCATCCAAGGAAGGGCGAGTGACTTGGGGGAAATTCCATGGCGCCAGCTCACTGATGTCTCGGTGGTGATTCTGGCTGGCATCAGGGCTGGGGGTGAGCGGGGTGGGTGGGGCCTATGTGGGAGGGACCTGGGCTCTGATTAACCAGACCCAAGAGAAAATTTCCTGGCACTGGGGAGCTCCAGGAAGTGAAACTAGAGCCCGACGTTCAGAGGCTGATCTATGCCGAAACTGTGCCGGTGAGCAATGAGGCGAGACGCACCGCCCTGTGCGTGTGCTGCTCAGGTCTCTCCCGGTGGCATTTGCACAAGGCCAGCTGCCTGGGTCCAGGCGGGAAGGTAGAAGGTCCCTTCGAGAAGGGATACCAGGTTCACAAGGGACAAGCCCTGGAAATAATCCATCACCTGGGGACCAGATGGCCCTGGCCTGTCACCAAGGCCCGTGTCACTCTTCCTTGGCCTTGCCACTTTCCAAGTCTCAACTTTGGGATTATCAGGCATGTTGTTGACAGAACTTTCTTTGTAGCAACTGAATTCTACAGTCACTTACAAGTGAAATACGAAAGCAAGGAAGGAAAACAGAGTCACGGTTACAAAAAGAAAATGAGGATCAGGCCACGAAAATCTGATTAAAGAAAGCAGACTTCACTATGACCTTGCGGAAGAACAGGAATTAAGCTGAGGGTGCGGCACAGCGGGGTCTGTGTGCATAGATACACGCCGGCCAGGCCAGAAACAGGTCACCAGGACCTGAACACCAGCACAGCGCAACGCTTCCGATCTGTACAAAGCTCCCCGCAAGCTCCCATGCGAGCCTGGTGTGGCTGCGGGAACGGATGTGGAGAGTCTTTGTATTTATTTTTTTCTGTCACTAGTAACCCTGTTTACTTTTTAACAGAAAACAACATAAAGTACTTGCAAGATTCCAGAGATAACCAGAGGAAGCTGGAGTTTGGGGATGTTTGGTTGCAAGTTCTGGTCTTTGCCCGGTGAACAGGAAGGAGGATGAACCTCATCCTCCCTTGGACAGCGGCTGCCTGGCTTGGGGCGGGGGGGGGGGGGCTCCGCGGCCGGCAGCTGCCCTTGCGTCATGTTCTGGCTGCAGCGTTGGGAACCTCTGGGCTGTCAACTCCATTCCTCCAGTGCGCCCACGGGCTTGCTCTGGAGGCTGCGATCCCCGCCGTTTTACCCAAACCTCCCTGCCTCTCCCAGAGGCCAGGCCAGGCCTGGGGCAGCGTCAGCCTTTGTAGGACCCCCCAGACCCCTGGCTGCCTACTCATGGGGGCAAGTGTGAGCTGACAGGCCCCCGTTGGGGGACGGCTGAGTTCCTGCTTCTCAGTCTGGCTCACTCCCCGCTGTCCTGGTCTCCTGCTAACTCGCTGCACTTGGACACGAGGCCTCCAGTGCCTGGTCGCTGGTTTTCACTTCTTCCTCCTACCTGTCGGCCGCTACTGAGTCATAGCCCTCAGTACCCCCATGCTGCTCTCAGCTCCGAGTCCACTAGTGGGATGTTTCAGCCAGTCTCCCAATGCGCTGCCTCCCTCTCCTGCCAGCCCTGAACACACCTGGACACAAGCACCCAGTGTGAGGTCCCACGCACACACCCCAACTTTCAGAAGTTTATCTCGCTGGGCGCCGGTGGCTCATGCCTGTCATCCTAGCTGCCCAGGAGACTGAGATCTGAGGATCATAGTTCAAAGCCAGTCTGAGAGACTCTTATTTCTAATTAACTACCAACAAGTAGGAAGTGGAGCTGGGGCCCAAAGGGTAGAGCGCTAGCCTTGAGCAAAAAGGCTCAGGGACAACACCGAGTTCCAGCCCCAGGGTCAGCACCAAAAAAAAAAAAAAAAAAAGTGTATCCGTCTATGCAGTACATTATAAATCCTGGAAGCACAGACTGGTCTGAAGGATCTTCCAAGTCCAATTGAGTTTGGTCCCAGGAAACTCATGGCGTCCTCAGGGCCCGCAGCTGGCTGGGGCAGGGGACCAGCATCGGCTTCCACTTGTCTCATTTCAGTCCTGTGGGCCACATGCTCCGCAAGCTGTTGAAAAGCTGGAATTTCAAATGAACTGTGTCCTACAGAGCAAGACTTTAGAATCCTGATTTGAGGTTTGACTTTTTTTTTTTTTGGTCCGGTCGTGGGACTTGAACTCTGGGCCTGGGCGCTGTCCCTCAGCTCTTCAGCTCAAGGCGAGCGCTCTACCACTTGAGCCACAGCGCCACTTCCGGCTTTTTCTTTTTGCTTATGTGGAGCTAAGGAATAGAACCCAGGGCCTCATACATGCAAGGCAAGCGCTCTACCACTGAGCCACCTTCCCAGCCCCTTGAGGTTTGAGTTCTGATCATTCCTGATTCATTGGGAAGCTTTAGAGACCAGTTGACCTCCCTTTAACACCAACAGCACAGGCATTGTGGCCCAGAGTCATTGGGAAGGACACACAGGAATGTGGGCAGGGCCTCTGGCTTCTGGCGGGAAAAGCACCCTGTTCTGTCACTTCCCAACGGCTCTTAGTACACGCAGGGGACAGACTAAGTGGCTCAAATCGACAGTCAACTCCAAAAGCTCACTTCTGCCTTCTGTGTCAAAGATCTCTGTCTAACTAAATGATGGACGGAAGGCCAGGCCTGGTGACCACTGAAAGAGGACAGCCTGGGATCTTTGGCTCTTTCTAACAAGAGAAAACTATGAGAAAAGATGGAGAAGAGAGAGAAGAGGTGCTCAGAAAGAGGAGGAGAGAGGGGACACCAACAGTCACTGCCATGGCCGCTCGAGGGGCGCCAGCCGGTCCCGCACACCAGCTTGCTCACTGGCAAATTGGAAATGATGACATTTGTCTTGCCGAGTTAAGATGGGAATCAGAGATCAGACATCTGAATGTACCCTGTCTTCTAGAAAGAGAAAAACGTTAGCAGGTATTAACTATTGGCCAAGGGCCAGGGGCTGGAGTGCTCCTCTCTAACTCGGTTCACGTGTACTCTAGGAGGCAAACATCAATACATGTGTTTAGTGATGGACACGAGTGTGTGCGTTCAGGACCAGCAAGCCCTGCTCAGGAGAGGAACTGGCTGTCGTCAGCTGGCTTGGAGGAAGGGAAGTACCCGCGCCCGTGGTGCAGAGGGCGTCACCTTCACGTGATGAGGCTCTGGACAGTAGTGTAGGGAAAGCGGCCGGGAAACAGGGCAGCAAGTCATGTTTCTCATCTGAAGACATAATCTGGTAGAGAGCATTTACGACTAGAGAGTTCGCATGTTTTCAGAGTGGGCTATCTCTCTATCTATCATCTATCTACCATCTATCTTCTATTTATTTCTGTGCCAGAATTCACACTCACTCAGCTTATCTGCTCACAGCTAGTGCTCTACCACTTAAGCCACAAATCTAGTCCAGGGTTTTGCTGAGCTATTTTTTTTTTTGTCAGTCCTGGGGCTTGAACTCTGGGCCTGAGTGCAAATCCCTGAGCTCTTCAGCTTAAGGTGAGCGCTTTATCACTTTGAGCCACAGTGCCACTTCCGGTTTTCTGGTGGTTTATTGGAGATAAGAGTCTCACGAACTTTCCTGCCCAGATCCTCAGATCTCAGCCTCCTAAGTAGCTAGGATTACAGGTGTGAGCCACTGGCTCCGACTTGCTGAGTTATTTTTAAAGCCCCAAAATGGAGTGGGATTAGATCACTCACTGTCACTCACAGGGCTGGATTCAAACCAGATCTGTTCTTTAGATCTCAGTTTCCTACCATAGCTAGGACTATAGGTGTGATGTAAAAAAAAAAAAAAAAGGTAGATTTATAATGCTATAAGCAAAAAAAAAAACAAAAAAACCAACCCAAAAAACACTTGAGCGGCGACCTCCTGGGATAGTCAGTCTGTAAGACTGACAGGCATGTCTGATTCTTTTTCTGTTGGGCTAGGGTTTGCTAGTCTGTTCAGCTCCAAGCTGGCACACAGCCTTAAAAGAGACTGAAGAAGGCTGCAGAGGCTGAGGTGGGCCTTTGTCTACAGGCTTCCGTATATGGGCTCTGGCACAGGCAGCAACTGAGCTATTTTTATAGCCCCAAGGTAGAGTGGGATTAGCGTGCTCTGCGTCACTCTCACTGGGCCCGGGCTGTTGCGCGGTGACTCCAGAAGCATCTGTGAACTGCAGAATGCCTGACGCCTCCTCAGAAAGAATTTCACAGCACGGACAGAAAAGCGAGGCCCTGCCCGGCACGTGACTAAGAAGGGAACACTAAATTCCACAGAACTACAGTGAACCCTGAAAAATCACTGAGCTCGTCTTTTCTTTCTCCTTTCTCACTTGTTCCTCAAATGTTGCCTCATTTCTTTCTTTAATTGAGCAAGATCTCCTAATCTTGGGCAATGTGTTTCTAAAGGGTGGGAACTACCCAGTGGATCTGCCTTGCTTTTTATTTATGATTATTTATTATATAAAGCTGACTTTGGAATTTCCCTGAGTCTAATTTCTATTGTTTGCTTATTTTACTACAGCTGAATTCAACTAAATTAGACTTTCCAAACCCTTGTTTGGCCTTTCTTAAAATAGTTTAAAGACTCATTCAGTCAGCCGTGACTGGAGTCTCAAGAGCTAACAGTACTCCAAACAGGCTGCTCATCAACAGGGACCAGATCTTGAAGATTCACCCAAACCACCCTGAAGGTTTCCTGTTCCTGGGAACAGAGAATTGTGAAAAAAATATACATAGAAATAGCCATATATCAGCTGGGTATGGTGGTGCATGCCTGTAATCTCAGCTACTCAGAAGGTAGAAGCAGCAAGATTTCCAGTTCAAGGCTAATCTGGGTGAAGCTATGGAAACCCTAATCTCAAAAACAAAATATAGAAAAAAGTGGTTGGCGTGTAGCTCAAGAGGTACTTTCCCAGTATGCATGAGGCACTGGGCTTAATCCCTAGTACTTTAAACCATTAAATTTCAGTAGAAAAACCATTAAACTTTAGCGCTCTTGGAAAAGACTATCTATTTTCTTTTTGCATTATTAAATCTCTTCATACCCCTCCTCCTCCTTCCTCCTCATTCTTTTGCTGGTCCTGGAGCTTGAGCTTTTGTGCTCAAGGCTACACTCTACCACTTGAGTCACAGTTCTATTTCAGGCTTTTTGTGATTAATTGGAGATAAGAGTCTCAAGGACTTTCCTGTCCAGTCTGGCTACAAACTATGATCCTCAGATCTCAGCCTCCGGAGTAGCTAGGAGAACAGGTGTGAGCCACCAGTACCCAGCCCTTAAATCTCTTCTTTATGACACTTTGAGCTGGATTAAAACAAGGACACTCTTGCTTTCCCTGGAAGGGCCACACATTCTGCTTAATAACTGGTCTATAAATAGATCCTCTAGAAGCTCAGATCTGATACCAACGAGGTGACATCGACATGGTTTCAAAATATCAGTTCAATACACCTCTCAGCATTTTAGGGGTTCTGTAGAGGGCAAATTTTCTAGAATACACAGAATGACAGATTTATAGCCAGGAAATGAAGTAAGATCTGCTGCAGATACTGTCTACTCTGGATTCTGTGTGAGTGCTCTGGACCAAGCAGGCTGACGATGTGGACTTGGAATCTGAATTTTCTAACGTATGGGCTTAGTATGAAACCCAAGGAAGTTTCTGCACGTTTCTGAGCAGCAGGCCTTCGTGGGTAATGAAGGATGGGGGGCCTCTGTGCAGTTACTGACAAGACCAGACAGAAGAACACACGGGATACAAACTGGGGCAGCCCGGCAGGATTTCTGCCTGCAAAAGGAAAACTGTATGAAGAGAAACACTCCCAAGTGAAAAGCTCAGGTGTCTCCTTGACCTTTTAACCACAAACAAGCTCACAAATGGAAGGCAGAACTGCAGAGAGAGGGCTGGGAGTATGGCCAAAGCAATAGAGAGACTGACCAGCAAGTACAAGGACCTGAGTTCAAATCCTAGTATCAAACAACAAAGACAAAACTACCGAGAGAGGGCTGGAGGTTGTAGCTCAGTGTTACGTGCATCACCACGTGCAAGATGGCTAGAGGCTTTGAGTTCCAACCAATTTGCTGGGGCTAGAAGTTTTTGTGCTTCAAACGTTTTCCTTTGTGGAAAGGAACAAATCAGATACTATTCTTAGGAAGACAAAAACAAAAAAAAAAGCCAGCCTTTTCCTATAAGTAAGCTCAGCAAGCTCGGCGTGCGCGCCACACCAGCACAAGGGTTTCCATTATGCAGCGTGGGAATACAGAGCAGCGTCTGTGCTCCCTCAGGGGAGGCTGCGCGGCCTATCCACAGGCCCGAGCTCCAGGACGCCAGGGACGCTGCACAGGGGACGGCGGCCTGGCCCTTGCAGCTACTTCCTGCTCTAGACTCACAGAGATGACGGAATAGGGTTGCATCTTGTGTCGCCTGACCCTCAGCAAGGATTGGCAAATTAAAGATGTCTGGCAGCATTAAAAATAGACAAATGCACACACATACACACACATGCACTCTCTCTCTCTCTCTCACACACACACACAAATAAATAAACCTCCTGAAATTTGCTAAGGCTATCAGAAGAGCTACCGGCTTCGGTTATTAAATAGCGTGGGCTGTTCCATACCCTGAAAGTTCAACCACACCAGCTGCCAGGGGGTTGCTGCATGGGCAAAAACCACACTTCCTGTCAGCAGGCATTTGGCCCAGGGCAAGCATGAGGGAGAGATCCCTTCAGGAGAGCTGCAGATCCGCGGATCAGCAGAGCAGTTAGCACGACTGTCCTACAGGACAGGAACAAAAGCAGCCATACATAGCTCTGGACAGGAAGCAGCTGGCACCAGGAAGAGAGAATAAAGGATGGTGAGTCACACAGCACCATGAGATGGAATGTGTATGTTCTCACTGGGAGACCTTGGGGAAGTAGAGAGGAATACTAGGGGATGGAGGTCCTGTGCTCTTTTGACTTAAGAGAGGCTGTGGAGGGGCGCAGAAGACAGTTGCGCCCTGCTTTTCCTGCACAGACCAGACACCACCTGCTGTGAGGCAGGAGGGATTCAGGAAGGACGGGATGTCTGTGTTTACCGTGACCAGAAAACCAAGGGCAGAGGGCTGATGATGCCTCCTTACCAAGCACCAGGGGCTCTAGAGATCCAGCTGGGAGACTGGTGCCAGCCAGAGTGATAAGGCCCAAGGCAGGAGGCTGCGCTGACAGTCAGGGTGGCCTGCCATTCAGTCCTGGTGTGGTCACGAACGCATGCAGCAACACACACACACACACACACACACACACACACACACACACACACACACACACACACACACACACACACACACGGCAGAAGCCCTGGGGCAGGACCTGGGAACTACTTTGCACTGGTTAAAGCTCTCGTGTGCTTCTGAGGAGCCGCTGTCTCCGGCGTTATGAGTAATACACGGGTTTTCTATAATTATTTTTTCTGCTACATCATCCTGGAGGAGTGATGTGATTTATAACAGAATTCGGCTGCCTGAGGGGGTCCTCTGACCTCGAGTCACTTCACCATGCACACATTTCTGGGGATGCCAGGAGACTCAGCGGTGAGGTCGGGGAGCTGCTGAAGGATGGCAAAGACTTCAAACCACCTCACCTTCTGGAAAATGATCTCAGCTTTCTGAGTAGCTGGGATTACAGACGTGAGCCACCGTTACCCGGCTGCAAAGCTCTATTCTTATCCCAGCACCCATTCCATGCTGGAATGGAGCCTGCCCTTCCCTGGGGCAGCTCACCCCCAGCACCACCAAGAGCCCCCCAGCTCACCTTGGCCAGCCTCGCTCGCTTGATGAGGTCGTTGAGTTTGCGCACGGCTGCCTTCTGGGGCAGGCTCTGGATGTCTCTGAAGAGGTCCTGGGCCTCAGCCTCGAAGAGCCGGCGGTTGTCCGTGTTCTGCAGCGGCTGCGCCCAGAAGGAGCCGATGTAGACGCGCAGAACTTCAGGCGTGTTGATGACTTTGCCCAGCGACCACATGAGAGCCCCGTACACTCGCATCAGCTGCTGCGTGTCCACCTGGTCGGCCTTGTTCAGCACCACGCGGATCTTGTCATCCTGGCCCCGGAAGGCCTTGATGGCCTCCGAGAACTCGTCTGAGATGTCCAGCTTGTGTGCGTCGAAGAGCAGGATGATCCTGTCCACCCGCTCCGCAAACCACTGCAGGACCTGGCAGAAGTCATACCCTGGCGGAGAGAGGGACACAGCTTCACACCTCACAGCCCGGGACACACACAGCTGCGGGAGGCCGTCTAGGCCCCATGAGCATGCAAGTCAGTTCACACGGGGCCTGGTGGCTACAGGCATCCCATAAGCGGGGGAGCCGGGGGGACCCCTCTCACAGAAAGGAGCAAGGGATCAGAGTGGGCAGTGCACATGGGTAACTTCAGTCAGCCCTGGCACAGTTCTTCGGCTCACTGTTGAAACAGGCCTGCCATTCTGCACAACTGCAAGCTACCAGCCAAGAGGCTCTCATATCTCACAAGCCTCACTTTATGGAAAGAGACAGAGAAAGACCTGGGAGGTCATTTCGAAGCCTTCGGGGTGTCTGGCAAGCTTGGGAGGAGAAAAACTGCCTTCTTCTAACCCAAGTTTGTGTGTTTTCGGGTCAAGGATTGGCCTGGGCAAAGTGGTGACTGCTGTTTATCGTCGGGACTATTTATAGATTATGTGTTCTAAATATTTGTGTTTTGTAAAATTATGTCTCACGGCCCTTCTGTGAAATGGCCCTTAGCCAGTTTCTTTTTTTAAAATGACCAGGACCACAACAAATTCCACCAACCCCTCTTTGGCCACTTACCAGTGCTTCAAATCAAGTAAACACTCTCCAAGCCCAAGGTCAAGACTCTCAGGCATTTCCCCAGGGTGGCAGGTTCCCACAAGGAGCAAACAGGGGAGGCCTGTCCTCCACGATATTTTAATCTCAGCATCTCCCTAATAATCCTCCAGATCTGTGCCTCCTAAGTAGCTAGAATGACAGGCGTGGCCACTATACCCAGCTTTCAGTATTTTTTGTTTTTAATCAGGCCTAGTACGTTCAGTTAACAAAATATCACAGACCAGTGAAAAGAACTGCATCTTCATGTGTCAACAAAGGTAAATTGCAAACTAATAAAAAAGGGTTAAGTAAAAAATCACTTTTTTTTTGTCAGTGGTAGGGCTTGAACTCTGGGCCTGGGTGCTGTCCCTCCAGCTTCAGGCGAGTGCTCTACCACTTGAGCCACAGCCCTACTTCCGGTTTTCTGGTGATTTTTATTGGAGATAAGAGTTTCACAGCCTTTCCTGCATGGGCTGGCTTTGAACTGCGATCCTCAGATCTCAGCCTCCTGAGCAGCTAGGATTACAGGCATGAGCCACCGACGCCTGGCTTACAAATCATTTTTAAAGGATGAATTCAACACCATTACATTCATGTAAAATGTCAAAATAGAAGCATGAAATGTTATGATGGTGTGTATCTATAATCCCAGCTACTTGGGAGTCAGGGACAGGGGGACTGTGGCAACCAAGTAGCAAGACTCTTATCTCAAAAATCAACTAAAAAAGCAAAAAAGAGCTGGGGTTGTGGCTCAATTGGTAGAGCACCTGACTAACAAAGCCAAGGCCCTGAGTTTAAACCTTAGTAATACCCTCTCCACTCAAAAAATTAAAATATAAGGGCTGGGAATGTGGCTTAGTGGTAGAGTTGCTTTCCTTGCATACATGAAGCCCTGGGTTCAATTGTACATAAAACAGAAAAAGCCAGAAGTGGTGCTTTGGTTCAAGTGGTAGAGTGCTAGCCTTGAGCTAAAGAAGTCCAAGGACAGGAAAGTCCAAGGACAGCGACTGGGTTCTAAGTTCAAAAAAAAAAAAAAGAGAATCAGTCTATAGGTATATAATGCCTACAACATCAAAAGCATTAATATCCACTTAGGATACTGGCTGGTACTGGGATGGAGGGCACGTGGGTTTGGAGGCTAGTGAGGAAGTATCTAAAGGAAAATTATCTATTAGGAAACTACAAGGGTCTAGGCGCGAGGCGTCCGTGTCTTTGAATAATCTGCATGAAGGGAGGAAGCAGAGCCAGTGACGCTTCTATCGTAGGCACTTGTGGTTCCTGCTGTCCGGGCTGTTTTGCTGCTATCACCTTGACTTTGGGAATGGGGAGGGCAAACACAAAGCTTAGAATGTGGGCCGGTTTACTCTCCTCTCATTCAGCAGTCAAACGCTTATTGAATAGGTCACAGGGTGGCATTAAAGATGGACAAGATTTCCCTCAGTGCTGCATCTCTGCCAGGCCAAGCCAACGGTCTCCAAGGGTAACAGTAAGTTCAGCTGTCACCCGAGACTGAATTGTGCTCCAGAGAGCCCCAAATTTCAGGTCACAGTGCCACATCCTCAGTAGATGAATGGACTTGTGGCTTCCTGGGTGCCAGGAAGCTGTGTGAGACCCACCCGCAGAAGGACCTGTATGGGCTTGCTTTTCCAAAGCAATGATCGCCTCAGCCCTCTCACCCCAAGGGCTTTCTCAGTGCATCTCCTTGGGACCAAGATCCAGTATCTGAAGATTCAGAAAGAGATGAAAGAAAATGTTGTGCGGCCAGGTATGATGGTTCATGCCTGTAATCCCAGCTACCAGGGAGAAAAAGATAAGGATGATTTTGGTGCAAAGACAGCCTGAGTGAAAAACTAGCAAGACCTCCTCTCAGCAAACAAGCCGGGCCTGGGGTCACGCGTCTGATATCGCGCTGTGCAGGAAGCATAGGCTAGAGGATCATGGTCTGAAGCCGGCTCTGGGCAAAAACTTGAGTTCCTGTCTAAAAGATAACTAAAGCAAGAAGGGCTGGGGCATGGCCTACCAACACGAGGCCCAGAGTTCAAGCCCTGACTGGCCCAAACTAACAAATAAATGCTGCGATTAGGGTGCACACCGAGTCGGGTCCCCTAAAGTCCCTCTTCTGTTTCCATTACCCAGATTCAGCTAGCTTTGGTTTGCTTTCACGCACCGCCACTGGCAAGCCACTGTGCTTGTTTCCCCATTTCTCACGATCAGTGCCACCTGGGCAGAGCGCCTGACCGGCAGCTGTCACCGCCAGAGCCCCACATGGCCAGGCAGTGTCTCTTCCCCGCCCCTGGGGCTGCCTTGGTTGACTGCTGGGCTGTGACACAACTGTTACACTGTAACTTAAATGTGAGTTCACAGTAGTTGATTGAAAGGTGTTGAACAAATGGTTCTGGCCTGGGGACTCTTTTGAGCTGAGCCAGAGAGCAACTGGTGTAGTGTGTGTGAAGCAGGTTAGATCCATGGCACTTGTGCACACTGGATTAGCTGCGAGCCTCTCTCTTTCTCCTTTGTGTATGAATGTGACTGCTCTAGCGCTCTGTAGAAATAAGTGCCATGACACGGTTATTTGCTGTCACTCAGCGTAATGTCCCCAAGGACTATCATGTTGTACATGCGTCGGGATTTTCTTCCTTTTTAAGGCCCCAGATCTGCTCCGTTCTTGGTGTGTGTGTGTGTGTCTATGTGTGCGGGCACTGAACTGGGGCTTGAGCTCAGGGTCTTATGTTCCCACTTGGGTTTTTCATTCAAGGCTCACACTCTACCCCTTGAGCCATTGCCCCCACTTCTGGCTTGGTGCTGGCTAAAGGTAAGAGTTGCTCAGATCTGGCTGGCTTTGAATCACACTCCTCAGCTCTCAGCCTCCTCAGTAGCAAGGATTACAGGAGTAAGCCACAATTAATTAGACTGACTGCTACAGACGTGTGTGGAAGTGTCCTTGAGGGTCAGCTATAAAACTCGGGTTCCTAGCACGGTCCCAGCAGGTGGGTAGACACATGATGCACACACATGGCTGAGACCGGCTGGCAGTGACGTGTGAACCACAGCTTTGCCACCACATCTGCATCTCAGAAGCAGAATTTGGAGTAAAAAAAAAAAAAGCCAGTCTGCAAACAGCACGTAGGGGTCATTCCACCTGCAAGAAATGCTAGATGGGAAAGCTAAGCCAGGTGACAGGAGCAGTTAGTGAAAAGACAGGAATGATTGCTGATTGGCTCGCTCCAGCAAGGAGGCGGCTCTGCGGGGGTGATGGGGTCCCTACTTCCGGTGGTGGTTATGTGTGTCCACACATCTGTCATCAAACCACACAATTAAAATGGCTACATTTGCTCACATGTTGTCTGTCAGTTGACAAAGCAAACATAAATAAGTGCGCTAGCAAGCACCCAGGGCTGCTAACTTGTGTAAAGACGTTCATCTGCAAACTGCTGATGGGCCAGGAAGCTGAAACACGTCCCTCGAGCACTCCGAGTCCTCTTCCCTGGCAGTGCCTATCAAAGCCGCTGCTGGTAGCGTTGGCACCGTGACTGCCTGCACATCTCTGCTGAAAGCCAAGATTATCGAAAAAGAAGACCAAGAAGCTGAGTCCCCAGTGGATTATGCCCGCAACGGTAGTTACTTGGGAGGCTGAGAATGGGAGGATTGGGGTTTGAGGCAAGCCTGGGAAGAAAAGTGTGTGAGACCCCTTCTCAATTGATGATGGTTGGGTGTGACCACACACGCACACACCTTGTCATCCTAGCTTCAAGGGAGGCTGGGATTGGGAGGATCTCCATCCTAGGCCAGCCCTAAGCAGAAAAGTCCATGAGACTCCATCTCCAAAATAACCAGCGAAAAGTTGGTCTGGAGGCATGGCTCAAGTGGTAAAGCACCAGCCTAGTGAGCACAAGGTCTTCTTGAGATCAAACCTCAGTTCTACCAAGCCAGGGGGGGGGAGGAGGTGAGGCACTTCAAGAGGCTAACGTAAAATCTGAATTGTCCAGTGGAGCATTGAAGGTTCTACCATGTACAAGCACCTGCCTTCTGGTCTAGGAGACAAGAGAGGTACTCATGGTGACAGACCAGGAGCAAGAATGCTGAGTGTGCCAGGCGCTGGTGGCTCACGCCTGTCATCCCAGTTACTCAGGAGGCTGAGATCTGAGGATCGCGGTTCAAAGCCAGCCTGGGCAGGAAAGTCTGTGAGATTATATCCAATAAACCACCAGAAAACAGGAAGTGGTGCTGTGGCTCAAGTGGTAGAGCACTCACTTTGAGCTGAAGAGCTGAGGGACAGCGCTGAGGCCCAGAGTTCAAGACCCACGACCAACAACAAAAAAGAAAAAAAAATGCTGAGTATAGGAGACCCAGTTCCAGTGAGGCAGAGAA